ATCAATGGCGGTCGGTTCGGCTGTAGATCGTTTCATCGTAGTCATACAGGTTATGGTACTCTGGCGAACCGTTCGACTGCCTAGAAACTGCTGCACGGTGCTTTCACGTTCTTCCGCCTTAGTACAAAGAAATGCCTGCGAACGTGTAGTTAATTCACTTGCGCCGAGCTAAAAAACTTTTATTTTGAAATAAATAGCGGTGCGCACCAAGGTAGCTGTTGCGACCGTGCGTTTTGTAGAACCCCGTCCAGCGAACGCTTGCGTAATTCTGTCCGGCCGACTGGACAGTATTCCAGCTGATGCTTACACGGTCCTGTTTAGGAGCATGCTGGTTTTAAAAGTGTCCACTGCATTGATGTTTGGCGCCTTATGTGCCAATTTTAGCCCTAGAACTTTGCTGTTTGCGATTTACGAGTGATTAATTTTGCGCCAAAACTTTCGCGTTTCTGTACGTAGGAACTGGACGGGTGCAGAGACTAATTTATATGCAGGCAAGGAACAGTTATTCCGAAATTTCAAATTCCCAGCCTACCTGATTTCCGAGTTAATAATTCTCGCGCCAAATTTTTCACGCTGTTCCTCTCGCGTGTCCAGACGTGAGTACCAGAAGGGCCCCGGATTTTCGACTACCTAGCTGCCTTGGTTGTGAAACCACATCAAATTCCGTGTATTCTTACGTAAGGAAGAGCTCTGGGTCCTAAGTGGCAAAGAATATCTTCGTGAAGTTTCGCCCGTCTAGCTTGCCTGGTTTTCGAGTTAATAATTTTCGCGCTAAAACTTTCACTTGTCTGTAATTGATCCTTAGACATGCACGGGATATTGAATTTATACGCGGACATGAACATTATCCTACAGTTTCATCCCCCTATTTTTTGTGGTTCTCAGGATATTAATTTAGACGATAAAACTTTCACATGGCTGCACCTAAAGCCCAGGTACGCGCAGGAACTAAATTTGAGTTTGCAAGATCTGAGACAGGTAGGGGGTTCCTCCTTAAAATCTCAGCTTCCAAGCTCTCTTGTACTCAAGTTGAAATACCAGGACAAAATGCACACGGAACACACACACACAGAAAGATAGGCATAAAAAGCATTAAAAGCATATAACGCATAAAAAGCAGTGGTAATTGATGTAATTGTCACGGAAGCAAATTCAAAATCTAGCCAAAAATGTGAGCTAAAGCTTGCAAAATTTAGGTGTAGGGTTGGGAGGGGAAAGCTGCGAAAAAAATGGCTGCTGAAGAAGAAAACCTCGTGAAGCAATTTGAGGAGTACTGCATGCAGTTGCGTAGTATCGATATGGCCGGCCTCCAAGTGATGCCATGCTTCTGCCTCCACTGGATTAATTTCAAGCGACGGAGGTGTGAATTTATAAAATGGTTTTAAATTTTTGTAAATCAAAATTGATGCACCACATGCCACTGCTATCGATGGTGAACTTGGCTGCACCTGCAAAAATATTCATAAAAAATATTACAGATATTCCAGTGCGAGCAATATGTGTTACAAAATATAAGTTTTTACTCGGTACATACATGTTCATTGATGAACGGTGCCACAGCTGCCGGCAAATCGCTCAGCACACTCTCTCCGATCAGCTGTATTCCTTTGAACACTTTCAGCCGAATATTGTATTTTTCGGTACCATAATCACCAATCACCAGCTTATAATCACCATCGCCATGCAAATCTGCTAGGCCAACACAACAGGGCAGTGTATTGAGGCCAAGCGATGTTGAATGCAACGCCGAGACCCATTTGGTTGTGCTTAGATTCATTAGACTTTTCTCTCTGCTTTTATTTTTCTGAAAACTTTCATTTTTAAGAAAACTTTAGCTGAGCGCAGAAGCTTACAGCATTACATTTCCAGGGATTCTAAAATTCCTATAAATTTAGTTCATTTCAACGCTGCGGAAAATTAACAAAGGGCAAATCTAGGGTTTGCTCGCGTAGCACCATACAATAAAAAAAAAGACAACAGTGGAGAAGTTCGGGAGCTAGTAAAACTTCTAGTGCCCTAAGAATTTACTAAAAATCTAATTTGATTTGTCTGCCGCTTTTGTGACCAATTTCTGAAACGAAATCAGAAAAATTCAAGGAATGGCACTGAACTTAAAGAAGGGGAAAATACGAAGCTCTGCATCTGTTAAGAACTCAAATGAATAGCGAGGAGCTCTGCAACTAACTGAAGCTACCAGTCTCTTGAAACAACTTCACCCCCTTTGTGAAGTATGCCAAAATTTCCACTGATACGTATCCGCATGAGATTTAGATTGAGATTTAGATGGACGTGGAAGCTGAATTTAAATTTACAGGGTCCACTTGAGCAAACCTCCGCTTTCTCTTGTGCACAATTACCAAATAGAAAGAAAATTTCTCGCCAATAACCTAATTGAGATCTAGAAGCGCATAAAGTATTCAATTCTCAAATTACACTTAAGCAAAAAGATCGTCTTAAAATTTCACTTTTCTACCTTTTCTTGTTTTTCATGTTTCTTTAGCAAAAAATTGTTCTGAAGTTTTAAGGTTGCACATCATTAGGAAATATTCTCCTAAATTTCCAGCTCCCCATCTTTTCTCGTCTCCGACCCAAAAAAATTTCCTGCTTGAAATTTCGCATGACAATATGTGAAAAATAGGCAGCCGTATAAACTGAATTTAAATTTCGAGGTCGCATAATAATATGATGAATTTTCGTAAAAATGTCATCAACCCGTTCTGTTCGGCCTCTTAATTCTAACGGCCCGAATGCTTTCGCAGTTTCAGCTCTTACGCTGCTGCGCATAAGATCTGCGCGTACACAGAAGCGGATTTCAAATTTTCTGGGTCGTAGATAAGCAAAAGCAATTATTTTCAGCTTCTGTTCTGTATGGCTCTGAGTATCACCAAATTTTTTACGCGACAAGAAGATACGCGATAACTGGCTTCAAATTAGCTAAGTCCAAATTTTCAGCTTCCTAGCTTCTATAATTGCAGGACAGATATCCAAACGCATGTACGCACAGCACACACACAAGCACGCGCAAACATACACACAACCAGTGCTAGTGTCATATGTTCTTTAAGACTCCATTTTGTCCGCACATATTTTTTTGCAAATAAAAAAGTATTGTTTAACTGAAAGTGCTGTTCCCACACAATACAAGGTACTTTGGAACAGTTTTTATGGAAAATTTTTTTCACCCTGCTTACGAGTACTATTAAGGATATCAGTTAAAGAGCAAAACGAAATTTGAAAAGATTACTGTTCACTAGAAAAACACAGCATTCATGAGAAAAAGCAGTTTTGCTTGCAACCTTCGTATGGCAAGCAAAGCATTTCGGAATCTGAATATTGCTATGGTAACCAGTCCAAGCGAAGCATTCACACTTTCTAAAGGCAGCCCATTGCGACAGCCATTTAGAGTCAGAAGCTGTGAAACCTAACAACCATGGTCACATAGAAAGTAACCACTAGTAATGCGAAAGACGAAGAAAAAGATAAATTTTTAATCTATTTCGCTCCTAATATTTTTGCAAACTAACACGGATAAGCGTAAACATTAAAAATCAAAGAGTCGGGGGATCATGAATTTTTACGCTTTTTTTTGTATCAGCGTTGAATTGTAAAAACACAAGTTCTCGAGAAATTCCTGTGTGTGGATGTGTTTGTTTGTAAGCTTGTGTATGTGAATGTATATGCGTGCGGGTGGTTCTGGCCTTTCTTTCATGGAAGAAAAAACGGTTACTACGAGAAAAAAAAAACGGTTACTACCATGCATAGCTTTACACGTATGCGTGGTTACTACGAAAAACATCTGTCTAAAAACCGCTGCATCTGAACATTTGGCGCGTTCGAATGTGAAGCACATGCATAAATTAAAGCTCACTTTATGCTCACACGCCTACGCACGGGGCATTAAATATTGTTATAAAAATTCGGCTTTTGGCTCAGATCGGTTTGCTCTGTTGAGTGGGTGCCAGTGATGCCCCAAACGAAATTTCACTTGTGCTTAGATGAAAGCTAAGCGTGTTTCAAAGCCGAAATTACGGTTCCAGGGTCATATGTGGGAAACGAATATCCTCGCAAAATTTCAGCTTTTTGACTAAGCTGGTCCCCTAAAATATTTTTGATGTGTCAGAACGGTAATAGCAGACGTGCGAAAACTGAACACAAGCCTACAAGCCCGCAAACGGAAGCAAAAACGTTATAAAATCAGAGCTTCCTCCCGATTTTGACTCTTGAGTTAACACGGCATTGTCGATGCTTCGTTTTCAGTTTCATACATTTATAATGTGACGTACGCGCACATATGCCTGAATTTGAAATCTTTGACTTGCTAAGGCAATGAACACTTAAAGTTTCAGCTTCCTATCTTGCCTGGTTCTTGAAATCGTACTCCTTTCAAAACTTTGCCCCATTTTCTTTCACGGTCCACTTGTAAAACCTAGGCGTACTCCCAAAGTGATTTTCGGATGGTGACAGGTGTTGCACGGCCGAGAACATGTTCGTAAAATTTCGACTTCCTAGCTTCTCCGCCTGCTGAGTTGAAAGTGCACGAAATCCAGAAACACGAATATTCATACATACAAACTCACGTACACGTATAAACACACGCGTACGCACATACACACACACACACACACACGTACATATGCACACATACAATACACATCACACAAAACACACACACACACACACACAGCAAGAAAGAATAATTGGCCAACGCACGGGCTGCCCGTGCGAAGATGTTTTTTTTTGCATAGTTCCCCGCAGTTTTTGTTGCTGCCGGCACCGGCTTTTTCGGCAAATGCTTCTAGCAAAGCAAATTAAGACTGGCCACCAGAACTGTCAGAAAACATTCCCTTTAAAATTCCAACTTTCTAGCTTC